CAAATGATAAACGTTTTCACAATTTTATTTAAAAGAAAATGTATAAGGCAAAATATGTAAGAACGAATACCTCTATAAGAACTTTCAGAATATAGACGTGAATAAAAATGTGCAGTTGCTAAAGTGAAGAGTTATGGCTCAGTGCAGAAATAAAACAAAATTTTGACAAACAACACAAAACATCCTTTAAAATATGTATTGTAAGTGAAATCTACAAGAAACAAATCACTAAAGATTGACAATAGAAACACAATTTTTTCTTTTCGGCTTAGTCCCTTTATTAATCAGGGGTCGCCACAGTGGAATGAACCGCCAACTTATCCAGCATAAGTTTTACACAGTGGATGTCCTTCCAGCTGCAACCCATCACTGGGACACATCCATACTCATTCAAACACAAACACTATGGATAATTTAGCTTACCCAATTCACCTACAGCGCATGTCTTTGGATTCATGGGGGAAACCGGAGCACCCGGAGGAAACCCACACGAACATATGGAGAAAGTGCACACTTCACACAGAAATGCTAACTGACCCAGTCGAGGCTCGAACCAGCAACCTTCTTGCAGTGAGGTGACAGCGCTACCCACTGAGCCACTGTGCTGCCCCGTTTTCTTAACAATAGATTGAAGAGAAAAAAAAACACATTGTGAAGAGCCAAAAAGCCCAAAATCTCAAAATTGTTGCACCAAAGAAAGAACAACAACAAAAACAACTGTGTTTCCAGCTGCAGCTTCTAAAAGTGCAACAGCCCAACCACAGGCTTCTGTGTGTCCAACTGGAATATATTTAGGCATAAAATGCTTTACATAACCTGATCCACAGCACACTCATGCAGTACATGCTCAAATAAACTTAATTACCTGATCAGTAGGCCTACAGTCATTCATAAAATCTTAACAAGCTAACCTCCATGCAATCTCCCAAAGCAGTTGCAAGCTTTTCCTGAATTGCGCGCCCAAACAAAGAAACATTACAGTAATCTTATGAAAGCATGTTTAAGTGGATTAGCATTTTTAAGTTTCTAAAAAGTCTCAAATCTTTCCTCAACATAATTTTTTTATTGTTATTTTTGTTTTTACGTCTTCTTTTCATCTAGAAAACAACACTGTAAAACCCAATAGGTTAAGGTAACTCAAACCATTTGAGGAAACCGATTGAAACAAACCATTTGAGTTCAAAAACTTATCCTAATAAGTACTGTGAACTTAACCCATTTGAGTAAACGAAGCAATTTGAGCACAGTAAAACCCAATGGATGAAGAGAACTCAAACCAGCTGAGAACTGTTAAACCCAATAAGTTAAGGCAACTCAAACCGTTTGAGGAAACTGATTTCTACAAACCATTTGAGTAAAAAAAAAAATATATATATATATATATATATATATATATATCTATACGAGTACTGTGAACTTACTAACTCATTACCTTCAACACTGAGTTCAAAACTCTACTTTAAATGAATAGAATTACCTTTCAGTCAATTCTGAGTTGACTACACTCATTTCATTTGATAAAGTTGACTGTTGGGTTTTACAATGAAGCTATCTTTGTAGTTGTGTTTTCCCACAATCAATCAACCATACGGCCACATACACAACAAAACAGACCACAAATAATAAAGACAATATAAATGCAGCTAGTTGCGAAGATCATAACCCTCACTGTGTGAATGTAAACATTCATGGACAGCAGGAATGTGTAACCTCCCGTGGTTTGTAGAGGATCGTTTCTTCTAGTTTCTAAAACTACTTGCGACAACAACATTCATTGTGTAATTGTGTGGTTTTTCGATGACAACACGGTGCTATTTACAACAACACAAAAGCGCAGACAATTTACTGGCGTGTTGGTGGTCTGGTGGCAGTATTTGTCTCCCCCTATCGGTGAGAGCAGGGCGGCGCTAAACGGGTGTGGCGCCCGCTGGAATTCAGCTCCGGCCTCCGGATGATGGTTTTGACTGAGTTTAGGGTGTGAAACGAATTCCTTTTTTTTTTTTTTTTTTTTTTTTTTTAAGAAAGCTGGAAATATGTAACCACTGACTTCTATAGTAGGCCTATATGTTTTTACTATTCAGGTGTAAATGTTTACAATTTTTCATCTTTCTTCCAAATTTCTTATTTTGTCTTTGACAGACGAAAGTAACTCATAAAGATTTGAGGATAAGCAAAAAGTAATTAAATCAAATTTTCGGGTGAACTATCACTTTAATACCACATTTTAAACAAGGTTAAAGTGAATGTCCACCCAAAATGTTTACCTATGGATCTGTCAATTACTGGCCCTTCACTACAATGAGTTATCTTTTTATAGTTTTTTTATATTTCTTCTTTTATTATAGTTCTTTTATATAGTTTTTTTTTTTTTTTTAACCAAGGAATGATATTGTGAAAAGGGCTAGGGTATACTGTTTGACTTTCCAATATGGATGACAATGGTTTCAAGTTTTAGGGTGATTCCACATCTCCAAACCTGACAAGCCCATATAAAGAACTTACGATGACAATCAAAAAAGCATTCAAATAAATATTAACTAAATGCATGGATATCCCTCTTTGCAAGCAGCTGTTTTGCTGGACAAAATGAGCACAAAAAATAAATTCAATAAACCATGTGATGAATCCAAACAAGATTCCCAGAGTGAAGAATGTGCAATACCGACCATAAAAGGAAGATGGCAGCATTACTTCTACAATGAATGCGAAATTCATTTGGAGCCATAAACTTGTATGTTTACCCTCATGGGTCCGTTCTGGTGATAGGAACAAATTTGTACACTGGAAAAAAAATACTGCTACCTTAATTTTTTTAGGCTGAATCAAATTGACCCTATGAGTCATTTAAATTTACAGATGGAGTCAGAATTATTAGGCCCCCTGTTAACAGAGAGACGATTTTCTCAACACATTTCTAAACAAAAGTTTTAATAACTCATTTTTAATAACTGATTTATTTTATCTTTGCCATGATTAAAGTAAATAATATTTGACTAGATATTTTTCAAGACACTTCTAAAGCTTAAAGTGACATTTAAAGTATTAACTAGGTTAATTAGGTTAACTAGGCAGGTTAGGGTAATTAGGCAAGTTATTGTATAATGATGGTTTGTTCTGTAGACTATCCAGAACAAAAAGCTTAAAGGGGCTAATCATTTGACCTTAAAATGTTCAAATTCAAAACTGCTTTTATTCTATCCGAAATAAAACAAATAAGACTTTCTCCAGAAGAAAAAAATATTATCAGACATACTGTGAAAAGTTCCTTGCTTTGTTAAACATCATTTGGGAAATATTTAAAAAATAAAAAATAAAATTCAAATTCAAAAAATAATTCAAAGCATATTATTATTATTACGTCAACTGCATATTATACTAAACTGACTTGAAACAATTTGTGCAACTTATAAATAGAAATATAACTTATAAAGAGAGCGTGATTAACTTAGTTTAAAAAGTTACAATGAACTAAAAACTTATTTTGCCATGATTAATTGATCATATAAGGTTTTACCGTGTATTTTTCAGAAATGTGCCGTTTTGGGAAATCATGAGCTTATAAAGTCAAAAGGAATTTATACTCAATTCATTCCCAATGAGAAAATATTGGTATTCTCGGAGTGTAACCATGAAACTAATACCTTATTTTGTGTGTATAGCCTACTTTATTTTATGTCAGCTTGTTTTTCCCTTTATGAATTATTATTTTAATTAAATTAATAAACAGCAGTTTGTCTTTTTTGCAAAACGATTAATAGGCCTTAACCAAGTAGTGTTCTCCATGCTTTCAATAAGATGTTCCTCAAGTATTAATGTTTTGATTAAACTTGTGAGTCATTAAAGGCAGAAAAGAAAGTCACAAAACAACGATTCCTTGAATTATGAGCATTAAATGTAAAATTGAGAAATGAGAAAACAAAATGCTTTTAATTCTTAAACACAAAAGTTCTCCAAAAATTCCAAATGTAAATAAAAAAAAGGTTGGCAGCAACAAAATATAGGCCTAGCAGTACCACATATTGTATTTTGCCTATTTGTTTTCTTGATTTTGTGGTTAAAAAGATAAATTTAAATGAATCAAAAAAGTTGCTGAAAAGGCAATTTAAATCTTCAAAGACAGACAAAGTGACTCTTGAATTTTAGATGACTTAAGCTATTCTTTAAGAAAATTTCCACTTTAAGAGATGTGCTTGCAAACTTTTCTAATTTAATATAGACTATTTTTCTCTGTATTAGATAACCTCACCTGAACTTCTTCGACTCTGCAGCACAGAATATTAAAGCCTTCCAAACTGCACCTGTTAACTTAGAAATGTTCTGGCTTTTTGGCTGGTCATAAAGCATTTAATTTGTCAGGTTAATGTAAAAAAAAAAGCACACAAAATGCACTTTTGTGTTTCTTTAGTTGCACTTGTTCATCTTGGCAGTAATTTAAATGTTGCATATTTAAAAAATAATTACACCAGCACTAAGATATAGCTCCACTTCAGCAGTACTTACAGATTTACTCATATTCTAAATATTTTATTTTTTACAGAGAGATTTGATTTGATTGCATTCAACATGTTATACAAATATTTGTCTGGCTGTTTTCTTTTTCCAGAATTATGGAATGCTAAAAAGACATTTTTGTGTACTAAAAATGTAGATTAATACATGAAGTAATGTCTAATTTACATTAAGATATTTCATTTCATATTCAAAGCTAGTTTGGTAATAGCAAGGTAATTTACCTTATTCACCAGTATTATCATGGCTCAATTTCACAAATGTTCCAACCTAGTGCTTTATATTTACTTTTTTCTTTATTTCTCTATAATTTCTCATGACCTTGGAAAACCCTGAATGAGCGATTCAGTGATGCGTTAAATCACGTCGTTAAATCAATTTCCACACACGAGCCCGAGGGGTCGTTTAATTTACACCGTGGCCAAACCACAGTAGGAGGGCGAGAGAGAACCACGTCGTGACATTAAAAATCAAAGCTGCCGAGTCAAGAGGCGGCGGCGGCTGCACAACACGCCCGCCCGGCTCATGACGCGGCAGAGGCGGTGAGTCCAAGCGCGTGGTGTCGCCGGGGGAACCGGAGACTGACAAGCGGGCAGGGGAGGGTGGACTGACTCTCTCCCTGGCACAAACCCGTCCACTCACAGTCACAGCACAGACACAGAGCCACCGTCTCTGCCGTGAATCATTCATTTGGCGGTATAAAGCATTGGTGTCGGGCGGCGGATGGTGCTTGTAAAGCCTGTGATGCTGATGATGATGGACGGACAGCACAGCCGCTGTAAGGTCGTGGTGGTCGGGGACACGCAGTGTGGAAAGACGGCGCTGCTGCATGTATTCGCCAAGGACAACTACCCTGAGGTGAACTCAGATTATTAATTGGCGTTAAATGTCTTAAGAAGAACAGAAAATAAGTTGGATGAGTGAATTGATGATGATGGTGCCTGTCAGAGTATGTTAAAGTAGGCGGCTATGGCTGTTTAGTGAACAGTAGGTTGTATTGAAAGTTGCAATTTTTAACGAGGTAAATAAATAAACTGCATGATGTCCCGTGCGTGTGTATTAAGGGACTGGTCATTCTTGAGCGCAGCATGATAAGAAAAGAAGGAGTCAGGGGTTTTGGCACTGAGGCGCTTGTGGCACGAGCTGTTAGTAACAGGGTGCAAATTAAGACGTGAAAAAACAAAAGTTTTAGCGTTTAAACGCTTCACTAGGCGTACTTATCTATACAAGTTATATAAAACAGTTGGTCATATTCAGAGATTAAGTCAAAAGCTGGCGTTGTCTTTTAATTATCGTGTGAAACATACTGTTGATTTATGTGGAAAAATAAGGGTTTTGCTTTGAAGTGGGCGATATCGATTTTCTCTTATTTTAATTCGTCAACTGATATTGGTTACTATTTAAATGGGCATGTTTTAATGTTACATGTTAAGATTATTACTTAAGGGCAAATCATATATACAGCAAAAGCTAATATGATGGCAAATTAATTAAAATGTTTGCTTAAAATAATTTATTTTATACAGAATATTTGGACAAAATATTTTTATAGATAAAATATATTTTTTTACAGTAGGCTAGTGTGATTCAAACAAACTAAAATACTCATCCTTTCCTGACAGTCCTTACAGACTAACTTCAACTTTGTACATATCTATTTAAACATGCAATGTGTTTTGTTTTGAAATATTCTCTAAGTTTATGGCTGCTTGAAAATGTGATCTTTTTGAGTTACATTTATAGGTGCGATTCCCTACTCTCAGTGATCGCAAGATGCATATATATCTTAGTATTCAATCAAGCTTTAGATTGGTGTTTAAGAAAATTAAAATGTTTAGTTTTAAGTCAATTTCACATCTAGCCTTAGAAAATGCTGTTTCTCTATACATTGAGGGTGAGATACTGCAGTAATGATGTGCCCATCTCTATAGGGGTAAAATTAAAAGCATGTGATATTTGTGTGCTCAGAGAGTCTCTTATAAATTGTATGACAATGTTCAACACAATGTCTAAATGATGTGAAAAAAATGTTCAGCTTGTAGACTGCAGTTCACTTAATGGCCCCTGGCATCTTTCTCATCTCAATTCTATATATATCAACAATTCGTTCTAAGTTTGCAAAGTTTTTAAGCAACTGTTATATTTAAAAAAAAGAAAAACAAATAGGTGACTGAGTTGTAAGCAGTGCACAACAGGACAAAAATCATGCCAGTAAACGTAACAGTAGTCTGCACAAAGTTGGTACATTGATTAAACATAAACATCGTCATAATTTACAGGTTTATTATTTATACCTCCCTAATAGATGGCATAAAAAGGTTGTAAATAGTTAAAAAGAAAGTTGAAATAGTTGTTCTGTCATGATTTAACATTAATTTAACTTTTTATTGTAGAATTATGTGCCTACGGTGTTTGAGAACTACACAGCGAGTTTTGAGATCGACAAGCACCGCATTGAGCTGAACATGTGGGACACATCAGGTATGGCATCAATACAGTCATGCTATCACATCACATTTCTGCAGGCAGTTTGATTATATGTTTAGAATGTGAAATTGGACAAATTTTTAGATATTAAAAAGTTTTCTATCTAGAATCCTAGATTATATTGCTTTGTTTTCAACAGCTTGTAACGTACAATGGGTTAACAGGTAAACAATATTCATAAACTGACATTTCACTATGAGCGTAATAACATGCGCGCCAATATGCTGGCAATTCACAAATATCAGCTTACTGAAATAACCCGGTTGTCCTGGTCTGCATGCAAACCAATAGCCTGGCACTGCAAGCAAACAGCATTTTAGACTTTTATTTTCCCATGTTTATTTCCCAGTAGTGACATCAAGTGAATAATTTGCAAACTTGACTGAGTACTGTATTTGTTTTGTTAAATAAATCATTGGAAACCAAAGAACAGTACTGCAACGTCAGTGGGTATGGCTCTAATATATTATCCTTTCAAGAGTTCACACTTAGCTGATGATTTACAAAGCTTATTTGGCATGCTGTCCCGGGAGAGAGCCCCGAGCTCAAGGGCTCCTCGAGCCCGGGGCTTCCTCCCGTTGGCAGAGCAAGAAGGGAGCCTGAGCTCGGTGGATCTCAGAACTCCCCTGCCGCTGTAGCTAAGGGAACGTAAGGAATTAGACCAGCTTGATTGTTAAGTATGTTGAATGTCTTTGGATGGTGGGAGGAAACCGGAGAGCCCGGGGAAAACCCACGCGGACACGGGAAGGACATACAAACTCCCCACAGAAACACTCACCGGTCCTATCGAACTAGGACCGGCAGTATTCTTGCTGTGTGGTTCACAGTGCTAACCACTGGACCGCCGTGCCGCCCAATTACAGGTAAAGGAGGAGAATAGGGGAGGAGGGGGGTTTCTTCCAAACGAAGATAAAGTGAACTGGAAACTTAGACTATTTATGGTGCCTTAGGGCTCGTATGATTGGAAGATTAGTGATTAGCAAATGCGAGACTGGACGTGATAAATCATAAGCACGTGATCCTCTCGAAATTAGTTTATGAATAAACTTCACTTCAAGAGTTCACACTTAGCTGATGATTTACAAAGCTTATTTGGCATGCTGTCCCGGGAGAGAGCCCCGAGCTCAAGGGCTCCTCGAGCCCGGGGCTTCCTCCCGTTGGCAGAGCAAGAAGGGAGCCTGAGCTCGGTGGATCTCAGAACTCCCCAAAATGCAGAATTAATCGCTCGGGACAGCAGCCGCGTATTCGAAGAAAAAACCCCCCAAAAGGCAGGAAATTTAGAGCTATATCCGGCTGCTGGATATAGTAGAAGAAAAGAGGTTAAATGCATGGGCATTAATTAGATAGGATTAATAAGGGTGAAAAGAGGATTCTAATAACTCTTGCTGGAGTTAGAGTTTGAAGGAACCCCTGCGGGGGTCATGGTTTTCGGGGTTAAGAAGAAGGGGAGAATAGGTGGTTTGAAGCAGTGAAAGAGAACTTTGAGAGAATCTTGTAGGAGTTGGAGCTCTAAGTGACCCCTGCGGGGGCCAGAGTAGAGTGAAGGTATGGAGCAGAGAGTGGAGGAGAGTAGCTCTTACGAAAGATGGAGCTTTGTGAGAGTTTGAGTTTAGAGCGGCCTCTGCGGAGGTTAGAGCTTGAGGGTAGGGTGTAGATAGGAGTGACCTCTGCGGAGGTTAGAGCTTGAGGGTAGGGAGTAGATAGGAGCGACCTCTGCGGAGGTTTGAGCTTGAAGGTAGGGTGTAGATAGGAGCGACCTCTGCGGAGGTTTGAGCTTGAAGGTAGGGTGTAGATAGGAGCGACCTCTGCGGAGGTTTGAGCTTGAAGGTAGGGTGTAGATAGGAGCGACCTCTGCGGAGGTTTGAGCTTGAAGGTAGGGTATAGATAGGAGTGACCTCTGCGGAGGTTTGAGCTTGAAGATAGGAGCGACCTCTGCGGAGGTTTGAGCTTGAAGGTAGGGTGTAGATAGGAGCGACCTCTGCGGAGGTTTGAGTTTGAAGGTAGGGTATAGATAGGAGTGACCTCTGCGGAGGTTTGAGCTTGAGGATAGGGTGTAGATAGGAGTGACCTCTGCGGAGGTTAGAGCTTGAGGGTAGGGAGTAGATAGGAGCGACCTCTGCGGAGGTTTGAGCTTGAAAGTAGGGTGTAGATAGGAGTGACCTCTGCGGAGGTTTGAGCTTGAGGATAGGGTGTAGATAGGAGTGACCTCTGCGGAGGTTAGAGCTTGAGGGTAGGGTGTAGATAGGAGCGACCTCTGCGGAGGTTTGAGCTTGAAGGTAGGGTGTAGATAGGAGCGACCTCTGCGGAGGTTTGAGCTTGAAGGTAGGGTATAGATAGGAGTGACCTCTGCGGAGGTTTGAGCTTGAAGGTAGGGTGTAGATAGGAGCGACCTCTGCGGAGGTTTGAGTTTGAAGGTAGGGTATAGATAGGAGTGACCTCTGCGGAGGTTTGAGCTTGAGGATAGGGTGTAGATAGGAGTGACCTCTGCGGAGGTTAGAGCTTGAGGGTAGGGAGTAGATAGGAGCGACCTCTGCGGAGGTTTGAGCTTGAAAGTAGGGTGTAGATAGGAGTGACCTCTGCGGAGGTTTGAGCTTGAGGATAGGGTGTAGATAGGAGTGACCTCTGCGGAGGTTAGAGCTTGAGGGTAGGGTGTAGATAGGAGCGACCTCTGCGGAGGTTTGGGCTTGAAGGTAGGATGTAGATAGGAGTGACCTCTGCGGAGGTTTGAGCTTGAGGGTAGGGTGTAGATAGGAGCGACCTCTGCGGAGGTTTGAGCTTGAAGGTAGGGTGTAGATAGGAGTGACCTCTGCGGAGGTTTGAGCTTGAGGGTAGGGTGTAGATAGGAGTAACCTCTGCGGAGGTTTGAGCTTGAGGGAAGGGTGTAGATAGGAGTGACCTCTGCGGAGGTTAGAGCTTGAGGGTAGGGTGTAGATAGGAAAACATAGATATCTGTGAGTGGAAGAGAGGATTTGTATAACTCTTGCGAGAGTTGGAGCTCGGAGCGACCTCGTGGAAGTCCGAGTTTGAATAACAAATTGAGGTTGCTGGAATGCTAACTGTAATGGCCATTAGGGGCGTCCTTGGCAAAACCTGTAGGGGTGCCATTGTTGGACGATTAGGCTTCTGCTGAGTTTGGTTAGGATGACTCTAGCGAGAATTGAGGCTCTATTAGGTACCTTTGTGAGTTGGAGCCTTGTGGGAAGTTGCTTGGGGGTTGGTTAGAGCCTTTTGTGCTTCTTTGAGGTGGTATTTACTGAGGCGTATGTAAGATTTAAAAGCTTCAGAAGACCAGCGACCAAGGGTCTGGATCTGATTGTGTGAGAGCCCGTTAGAGGCTGCTGTAGTGGCTGCGCCAATCCTGAATGAGTGGCTGGAAAAAGGCTCTGGGGAAAAACCTGATAGGCGAAGAATTTCTTTAATGTGTTTTTGGAACCAGAATCGAGAAACTGGACGGTTAGCGTCGTCAGTAAAAAGCGGGGCCATAGGGTTAGCTTCTTGAGATTTTCTTAGATTAAGATAGGCTAGGAGGGTTTGGAATGGGCGAGTAGGAGAAGGTATGTCGAAAATGAGGATAGAGTGTCCTTTCTGGGTTTGATCTGTTTTGCTTTGTTTGATAAGGAAAGAGATGGTTTCCTTATCTTGCAAAGCTAGATCTGAGATAGTGGGGTGGAGTAGAGGGTTAAATTTAGATGTAACTGTTAATTCGGAACATCTAAGAAACCCGAAAAATGCTAGATTAAACATAGCATCTAAGGTGCGGGCTGTATGGGAGGAAATATACCCTTTGCGAAGGGTGTAGATGCATGAGGTAAGGATTTTGAGTGTGATGGGTTGTCTGGCATCAGGGCTGGTGGGGTGGTTTTTCTGAATACCCTTGATAAGAAGGGAGGTTTGCGAATTTGTGATGGCGTCGGAAGGAGACCCATGGATTAATTTGTGAAAGAACTGGATCCCGCTAAGGTAGCTCTTTATTGAACTGGCTTGTAGATGATTTGCGGTGTGAAGGTGGGATATAAAGGAAGTGATAGAGAGGAGAGAAAAATCAGGAAAAGGAAGTTGGTGTATAATATGGAATTGTTTGAACGAATTCCATGCTGTGAGGTATGCATTGAGGGTTCTAGGAGCTATTGCTTGCAGGATGAGAGATAGAGAAGTTTGGTGAAGATTATGAAGTGGGTGGTTTATGGCAATATCGTTTCTGAATACGGAGGTACAGGCGTTGGGTGAGGGTCTGCTTCCGGGGCCAGTTGCCAGAATTTCTGTAGAGAGAAGCGAGAGAGAGAGTCAGCAATTTGGTTTTTGCAACCAGGTACATGTTCAGCAATCAAGATAAATTGTTTTTTAGCAGAAATCCAGATAAGGCGTCTTAAAAATGGCATAAGTGCTTGGGAGTGGGAGCGCCTTTTGTTGATGCAATGCACTGTGGCTTCGTTATCGCAGTGAATGAGAATGCTAAAAGTAGACCATTCGTCCCCCCACAAGATGGCTGCTGCGACAATGGGGTAGAGTTCGAATAGGGCTGAAGAACATTGGTCTTTTGGAATGGAATTGAATTGGGGTGGCCATGTTGAGGCAAACCAGTGTCCTTTGTAGTAGCCGCCGAAACCAATAGAGGGGGCAGCATCTGTGTATAGGTTAATGTCGATGGGGGAAGTTGTTAAGTCGCTATAGAAAAAGGAACAGCCGTTCCATTGCTTAAGGAAAGAGATCCATAAGCAGAGTTCGTCGCGACTTGGTTTAGAGAGAATAATTATTTCTTCTAAACCTTGAACTGTGGTGGATAGTTGAAGGAGGTGTGAAATAAAGGGGCGGCCCTGTGGAATGATGCGCATAGCGAAATTTAGATGGCCAAGAATTGATAGGAGTTCTCGTTTTGTGCACATCTGTTTTTCGAGGAAGATTTGGGATAGAGAAATGATCCGATCGATCTTCTCTTTGGGAAGGGATGCTTGAAATTTGTGCGAGTCTAGATTAATGCCCAGAAATTCGATTGA